TCCTCTCCACCTATCTTCTCCTCTATCCATCTTCTATCCGCCTCCCCCTCTCTCCCTATTTATTTCAGAACCCCCTTCCCCTCCCCCATTTCTGAAGAAGGGTCTAGGCCCGAAACGTCAACCTTCCTGCTCCTCTGATGCTGCTTGGCCTGCTGTGTTCATCCAGCTCTACACCTTGTTATCTCTTGACGTCTGCATCGGGTATCCAACTGCAAAGAGTCAAAAGGGGTAAAATTGGTCAAGGGTAGTAGTGTGTAATATCAGACGGCTTGACAACAGGCATGATTTTCATATCTACTGACTGAGGAATTACACCACATTTCTGCCAAAGAAATATACCAGTTTGGGTTTTGAGTCTCTCAAAGTGATAGTTGCCAATCACCAGATATAGTTGGATAAGATTCCCAATCAGACAGGACAGTTAGATTGGATGGAATCCTATAGGGGGTCTGAATGATGTGAACTATGGTGGGATTTGTGGCAGAATTGCATGAGTTTTCCAGAGAGGCCTGTCTCATAGTTGGGATGTTTTTGCCAAGTGCTATAGCAAGTTTCCCACTAGGCAGCTAATTAAGTGGGATTATATCTTGGTAAATGCCTTGTTCATGGTCCAATTCATCTCACTAAATCTAGTTTTCTATTTTACCAAACTTGCTAAACAATCTAGACATTAAGAAACCTCGAGATGGTAACCTCAGCTCACCGATGCAGTCTGAAAGATCTCCATGTTGAATAAAAAGGCCCCACAGGGACTGACTGCATGCATCCCACATTCACAGAAAATGGCATTTGAAATATGAGAACGCCCATGGCACATCTCTGGTCCACTTACAGGACCCTTCTGTACTTTAGTGATGCACCTCAGATGCACTGGAAACTATCAATATAGTGCTGCAAGGACACTGTGGACTCAGGGACACAGTCCCAACTCATGGATTGGACTAGGTTGCATGTATGGGCTCTTTGCTCTCTATGCTAGTGCTCAGTCACTCTGAGCCTACCTGGATGCCCACTGATTCCACAAACTGTCTTGCGCAGCCTTGCCTTTATGCACTGTGCCCCCTGAGGCAGAGATACCAGGCTCATTGTTTTTTATTCATTAACAGGATGTGGGCATTGCTAGCTGGGCCAGCATTTATTGCCCATCCCTATTTGCCCTGATGGCTGTTAAGAGTCAACCACACTGATGTGGTTCTGGAGTCACATGTAGGCCAGACCAGGTAAGGATGGCTGATTTCCTTCCCTAAAGGACATTAGTGAATGGGATGGGTTTTTCCAATAATTGATAATGGAATCACAGTCATCATTAAACTCCTAATTCCAGACTTTTACTGAATTCAAATTCAATCATCCGCTGTGGTGGGATTCGAATATGGATCCTCAGAACATTATGTGGGTCTCTGGATTAACAGTCCAGCGATAATACCAATAGGTCTTTGCCTCCCCTTGATTACTTCTGTCCTGCCATGTCATTTACTACAGGCACACAGGCAGGAACTTTGTCAGGGTTGTTAGCAAGCCTCAGATAAACCAGGAGAGATAGCCTTTGCTCAGGGGCCCCTGGCACAGTAATACAAAAGCAGCCTCTGATACCAGTCCAGAAGCTTGGGCATAGTCAGTCAGCCCTGGCCAGAGTCGGGATGTACTCCACTTAAGGGGTGGTGAGCAGCATGTTGGGTAACCTACCACCCATCGTTACTCTTTCTGCCCTATTGTGGGCTTCTTTCCTCCTAAAATAAGAGACAGGCAGATAATACTGGAGATGAAAGTGGGTGACAGAGCTGTTACTGTTGTTACAGTTGGGAAATGTACTGAGTCAGTAAATGGCAGTGCTCAGGGCATGCAGGTTAGTGGTGTCAGGGGTTGCGACAGCAAGTGAGGGAAGATGTTGCAGGCAATTATAAGAATGATACAGCATGAACCTTAGTAGGAGGTTGGTAAGGTAGCAGAGACAGAGTGAGTGAAAGGTATTGAAGACAAGATCGTGACACTAATGCTGGTGAATTGGAGAAAGTCACTGATCTTCTTTGTATAGTGCCGAGCGTCCCACTAGATGGCTGGGATGGGGTGGCAACCTCAGACCAAGCCAGGAGCTATTGTAGCCTCCACTGCTGGTCCTGGGGGATGCAGAAATCTTGCCTGTGCACCATTCCTTCCAGCAGGAACAGCCAGGTCCCTGCTTGCAAGGTGGGGTGCTAATTTTCCCTCTGTCTAACCATGTCCGGGACAAATGTCAGAAACCATGTGGGGTATCTCCGGACTGGCAGTGTTTGTCTGGGTGCACAAATGGGCTTGTAAAGATGGCACAGGCAGAAGGGGTGCTGGTGAATTCTGGGATATCCCAGCAGAGATGACTTGTTCTGAGAACAGCACAAGGTAAGATAGGACCGGAATTGAGGGTAAGGAATGCCATTGATGGGGTGGGCACTGAATGACGCACATCAGTAAGATAGGGCAAGCAAACTCACAAGCCCACTGGTGAAAGCCCTTACAAAAAAATGCAATGCAAACCGTGCTGAGCCAAAACGACGTAAGATTCAGCCCATAGATTGCAACGTTCATTTGTTGCAGATCAGCATCTACTTGTACGGAGTTCATATTGCTCCAATCGGCTAGGATTCTATGATTCTCCTGGGGCAGTAGAAGGAATGTCAGTGCACTGAGCAAACGATAGGAAGTTCTAACGTCCCCCGGCAGCAAGCTGTCTCCAGCTTCTCAGAAGAGTAAGCAGAGCCCATGTTTAATGCTCAGTTTGCTGTGATCAGTCAGGAAGAATCCAATAAATAATCCACCATCACTCTGTGGGTAAATTTAATGTCCTCCCATGAAGCAATTTGGGAGCTGGGGGTGATTTTGAATCAGGCTGGGGGGTTCCAGTTGGAGACAGTGCTGCCTCCGGTCCCTGCCTCAATTAAATCCAGGGCACAGGAAGATTGTGGGCAGCCAGGCACACCACACCATCAAGGGTCTAGGCCTGAAACGTCAGCCTTCCTGCTCCTCTGATGCTGCCTGGCCTGCTGTGTTCATCTAGCTCTACACCTTGTTATCTCACCATCAATTGAGACCCAGATATGGGCAATTAATGCCCATTGCAGGTCCTCACTCCACCACTACCAGCAGTGCCAGGAGGTGCAGTCACCACCTCAGGATCCAATAAAGCAAAGCCTGGCATACCTGGCACATTGAGGGGATCTCTTGATTCCAAGTACCCACTTACTGATTGAGGGATCTGGCATTGAAATAGTGATTGGGGGGTGGGGGGAGTTGCTACCAAAAGTAAACCCCTGCCCGTGCCTCTGGTCTCCTCCCCTCACATCCCCACCCTGCCCTCATTCTCCTTATGGCCTTGATCCCCCTCTGATCCTGGGCCTTAGCTGCTGGTGCTGTCTGCATTGAAGAGCTGCTGGCCTCCGATTGGTTCAGGGAATAGATTTGTGCTTTGGGTTTCCTTGTTCCCAGGGAAGCCTGCCGATGGGCACTGTCATGCCCGACTGTCACATGCTATGGGGGTCTTCCTTAAAGGAAGGAGACAGGCATCTCTCAGTAGCCCTTAATTTCTGACAACACTCTCCATCATCTGTGCCTGTGTACCCAATGTGTGAAAATAATGCACAGAATCATTTTTAAAGAGGTTAACACAATGGTGGGGGTGGGGTTGGGGGGGCACGGGGAACATATGGTGACTCTTCAACTTTGTTCCAAACTATAACTTTCAAAAAGCTATTATCATTTCCAGTGACTAACTGGAAGGATTACACACTGAGATTTCAAATTTTATGATTCTTATAGTCACTTGTCATCCCAAAACACTATATCTGTCGGCAGAGATAGTAGGAACTGCAGATGCTGGAGAATCCGAGACAACAAGGTACAGAGCTGGATGAACACAGCAGGCCAAGCAGCATCAGAGGAGCAGGAAGGCTTTTGTAGCAACTTGATCTGTAGGCTACAGAAAATGTTCTCACGTTTAACTTTTAAAACGACCAAAAATCGCTCACAACGGTTGTGCTTTACATTGTCCCTTAAGTAGACCTTTCATTCAGTGCAAATGGCCAGTTCAAAACTATTCTCAGCTCCTCATGGCTTATTTCCTTTCTCCTTTTCCAGGTAAATAACTTCTAATCCTGAAGTGACAGTTAAAGTGAAGTTTTAGCTGGACATTCCTTCCTCTTGCCAGATAGGCAACTCTTACAGTCTCCTTCAAATTCTCACACACTCTTTTTGCTGCAGGCATAAGCTCCCACCCACATTCCATGTGTTGAACAAGAGAGACCGGTTGTTTTTATCTCTTTGCTCTCTTTCTCTCTGTTAGATTCTTGCAAACTGATTGTAGGTCTGAGAGGCTCATGAGTATGTTTGGAGGGCCTGAAACCTGATCCTACAACAGCTTCCAAGGACTATTCCTTCCTAAAGTCCATCCCCATGACAATGTGTGTTACATGTGCCTTATATCTTGACAGAAGTTTGAATTAACTGTTCCTTACAATCACCCAAATTCACTTAGACCATTTCTGACACTTCCCTCCCCTTCCTGGACCTCTCCGTCTCCATCTCCGGAAACCATTGACATCCATTTCAAACCCACTGACTCCCACAACTACCTCGACTACACCTCCTCTCACCCATCTCCTGCAAAAATTCTATGCCATACTCACAATTCCTCCGCCTCCGCCGCATCTGCTTCCAGGATGAGGCGTTTTACTCCAGGACATCCCAGATATCCTCCTACTTTAGGGACCGTAATTTCCCCATCTCTGTTATTAAGAATGCCCTCAACCGCATCTCCTTCATTTCCTGCACTTCTGTCCTCAAACCCTGTCCCCCCAACAACAATAAGGATAGAGTCTCCTTAGTCCTCATGTACCACCCCACCAACCTCTGAATCCAACACATCATCCTCCAACATTTCCACCACTTACAATCAGACCCCACCACCAAAAAGATAATTCCTTCTCCACCCCTGTCCACTTTCCACAGGGACCATTCATTCCACAACTCCCATGTCAGCTTTACACTCCCCACCAACTTCTCCACCACACCCGGTACCTTTCCCTGCAACTGCAAGAGGTGCAATACCTGGCCCCATACCTCCCCTCTCACCTCCATCCAAGGCCCCAAACAATCCTTCCAGATCCCGCAGAGTTTCACCTGCACTTCATCCAACCTGGTCTGTTGTATCCGTTGCTCTCGATGTGGTCTCTTCTATATTGGGGAGACCAAAGGCAGACTCGGGGACTGGTTTGCAGAGTATCTGCGCTCTGCATGCACCAACCAACCCGACCTTCTGGTTACCATCCATTTTAATTCCCCCTCCCACTCCCCTGGTGACATGTCCATCCTTGGCCTCCTCCACTGTCAGAGTGGGGTCAAATGTAAACTGGAGGAACAACGCTTGATATTTCACCTTGAGAGCTTACAGCCCAATGGCCTCAATATTGACTTCACCAGCTTCAAAATCCCTTCACCCCCCGCCTTATCCCATGTCCAGCCCTCTCCTTCCTGACCTGACCTAACCTGTCCATCTTCCTACTCACCTATCCACTTCAGCCTTCCCACTGATCAATTACAATAACCGCCTACCTGCATCCACCTATCACCATCCCACTTAGCCTTCCCCCAGCCCCACCCCTCCCTGTATTTACTTCTGGGCTCCCTTCCCTCTCCCCATGCCTGATGAAGGGTTTTGGCCCAAAATATTGACTTGCCTGCTCTTTGGATGCTGTCTGA